ATAGAGAGAGGAGTAAGGGTGGCATTTGGAAAAAACTTGGAGCAGAGCGAATCGTGCGTCGGGGCCTGCTGGATATGCAAAATAGTGCGGTAGTAGGTCGATATGACCGTAGGGTCTAAAGTTCCATCATAGAATCAATGTTGGGAGTTTGAATCCTGCCGGAATGGGGTAATGACTCCTGAATGTCCCATCGGCGAAGGGACTGTCTATACCCCTGTGGGGAACTCCTCTCGGACTAGCCTCCGCAACTCACAACGTATTTTGCGGGGAGAGTTCAGTGACGTGCTGTTCGTCCCAAGTCCTCGGGGACGTCCAGAGCATATGCTGCCGGTGGCCCGTGCGTGAAGGATGGGTAGAGCTCGCTGTGCTAGCAAGCTCATTTTCTGGGCGGTAGCGAGGGCGCATCCTTGGCGAGGAAGGGACTTCGACATGAAGAATGTTTCGAATCCTGGCTGATCTCGAGGGAGAAGAGTATCTTCTTGGGGTACTGGCGCTGGTCCTCGAGCTCCCCTTAAGAGCTGAAGGATCTCATTTTGAGATCCTCCACTTTTCTGATACGTTCTTCTAGGATGCCCTAAGTTCCTTCTCTGCAGGGTGTCGGTTACCGAGTGAAAGGAGGCAGATGCCTGTCGTCTTGATTCAGGGACTGATTCCTGGATTGGTGTGAATTAGAGCGGGAGGCTCCCACGGACGCGATGGCTACGCCTGTTGGCCATTGAAGGAGTACTTAAGAATAGTGGTATTGACTTTTCCCACAGACGGCGCCAATCTGTTGCGGCTAGAAAATACGCGGCGATAGAGATTTAATTCTGCTCTTAGCTTGTAACGTATAACTACAACACAGAGAGAACAAGATTTTTTAGTGGAAACCTTAAAAGGGAAAAACACGAGGCCTAGCCCAGTTGAAAATGATTCCACTAAGACTTTGAGTTGGTTTCAGAGCGACACCTCCGGGATCGACAATGTAGTAAGCTGGTCGGCAGGTGTAGGCTGACGTCGGCTTAACAGTCGGTCTAGGATTGCGTGTCGCTTAGTGCGCGTGGGCTGACGTCGAGCCTTAGCGGCGTCGGTCTGACGCGGTAGGTGTGGTCCTTCTGCGGTGCTGGCGTGCGGCGAGGTTCTGCGGGTCCCGGCGTGGTCCGGCGAGGTGCTGACGGTGGTCCGACGGCTGTCGAGGAGGACTCCTTCCTTCTTTCTCCTTCTCTTCTCTTCTTCTCTCTCTTGCTTGGATCCTCTCTTGTGAAGAATGAGGGCTATATTTATAGATTTTCTGGAGTGGCATGGTCCGTAAATAGGTGTGAGATCAAGGGCGAATAAGGAGTGCTTGAATGGACGGTCGATAGTGAGCCCTTCGATCATGCACCTTGTGTTGGCCATTTGGAGGTCTTAATGATGCCAGAATTCAGCGATCTTTGGCTCGTTGGATTCGTCTCGTCGAGCCGTTCGATTCGAGTATAAGCTCGTTGAAATCGGAGACCGTTTGAAACTCAAATTGCTGTTTGAACATTCTGACACACTTTGAGCCCTTGATTTGGACTCATTTGGGCTCGGATTGAGTTGAACTTGGTGTCGTTGGGTTTGATTTCCGAGACGCTCAGTTTGACTATAAGTCGCTGAAATCGGAGTTCGGATGCTCCCGAAATTAAATTTTGAAGTTTCCAACTAGCCTTTTGCCTCGAGATTCGTGTCCGATCAAGATAATGTTTGCATACGTATCAATTGTTATCTAATAGAATATCTCTTTATTTTTTTCACAGAATATAGTTTTTTGATTTTATTAATAAATAAGAGATAATTTCTATATTATTTGTAGATAAAATTAAATATCTTGTTATCTATATAGAATATCTCTTTATTTTTTTCACAGAATATAGTTTTTTGATTTTAATTAATAGTTTTATCATGAAAAATATAATTAATTTTTAATATATTTACAAATTTAATATCTATTTTTAAATTTTTTTCATCTAATATTATCAAACGTATTATTAAAATGAATGTATTTAAAGTAAAATAATTATTTACATACATATATTTTAATATTATTTAGACATAACCATTATTTTAAAATATCATAACAATTTAATTATATGAATTTAATGGCTTGTACTAATCTGAATTCCTAATCCCAAGTTTTTGGGCCGGCTGGGTGAGAGTTTTCTTAGTTCTGCTCCTCGATTCCTGTTTTTAGCTCAGGCTCCTCTCCGTCCCCATCTCCTCCATCTCTCGCTCGCTCGTTCTCTCCTCTCTCTCTCTCTCTTAACTTTTTCTTTATCTTCTTCCTTTTCCTGCTGTGTGCTGAGCTGTTTGCGCCTAATGCTCTTAAGCAGAAGCAGGGGAGCAAGCGCACCCCAATGCTATAGAAGTAAAGTGTCTTTATCCAAAGAGAGCTGGAGGCTTTTTCTCTCAGTTCGCTTGTTTCCTTGCCCTTTTCTCTTTTGAGCAGTAATCAGCCCACGGCTTCCATTAACTCACAGCCAGTCCATCAATGAGTGCTGTCTACAGCGTTTTCCTCCCAATGCTGGCCACATAGTTGTTTTTGCTCGGCGGGTTTGTGTCATTTGGGAACTTCACTGAATGGGCTGGCTGGTTGCTTTTTGCACTCTTTTTCTCTTTGGGTTTTATGGAGTAGATTTTGGAGGTGGGTTATATTTGGTTTCATAGGGTTGGAATTCGGGATAAGATGGGGAGGACATATGGGTTGCTCCTGCTGTTGTTTACGTTACTGGGTTTTAAGATTAGAGGAGGACTTTGCCAGGATGATGCGGCTGTTTACATTGTTACCTTGAAGCAGGCTCCTGCGGTTCATTACGTTGGCGATATTGCGGAGATGAAGTCGTCTGGAATCGGGCAAATTAGCCATGGAGGTTTTGGGAGACTGGATACTGGGAAACCAAGGTTGGTTTCTCCTCCTCTGATGGTTTCTCCTCCTCTGATTCTGCTGTTTTTTCTTTGAAAAAGTTGGTTTAAACTTGTGTTTCTATTTCACTTTTATTTTATTGAACTGAACCTGTGCTCAATTAATAACTTGAATAATAAAATAAGTGTTTTCCGATTCGGTCAGTTCAGCTGTACCTTAGCGAAGAAATTGGCTTGTCTAATTATTCCTTTTTTTTTTGTTCTTTATCGATGCTTTTTTACTGCAATAAAAAGTTTATTAACTGGAACGTTTTTTTACCTTTACAAAAATTGCTAGCATGAGTTGAATTCTCTATTTTTTTGCTCTACAATCTGTTATGATGTAGAGAATGGGAAGGTGACGCTTACGCAGCCCATCCAGCCCCTTAGGCTGGGATATTCGTCTTCCGCCGCTCGATGTCATGGGTTTGAGGCTTATGCCCGTGTGTGTGAATTTAGGTTAAATTCACTCTATGTTAAAAAAAAAAAAAAGTGATCGTCGTTGGACCATAATTTGTTTATGATATAATTTGATATTTTTATTTTTTTGTCCACTTCCTGGTCTATGATGCATATAGTTTACCTTAATATGGATTGTTTGCCCCTACGCTTTCTCATATTATACATTGTCTTTATGCCTAACTTTCTTAGTGAGAGTAGGGTGGAGTTTGGTAAGAGAGCTACTAGCAAAAATGGGATTTGGGAGAAAAGTAGGAGTGAACTTAGAAAACCACATGCAGAAAATGGGGGAAAAATGGTTTCTAGTCAAACGAAATTGTATACTCATGAATGTCTTCATATGTATTTCATAGGTAGCTATCAAGTTTTGAAGAGGATACTTGCCCTTAAGAAGATTTACTTTGGGGAACTCGTTTGAGACCTATAGAGGGACTTGCTTGAGGGGATCAACTGGCTGAACCTAATACGATGCTCGCCTTGCACAGTGCAAATCAAGGATCCCTCTACCACTCGTTGCTACCTCTCTCACCGACTTTCCCGCAGAAAATCCAAACTCACCCAACTCAACTCCAGAAAGAGCCTACTCAGAGGACATGTTGCTCATCACAACCATCAGAACTAAAGCCTTTTCATTCTTGCAACATCTCATTCGCCTTCTTCCTTAAGGCAGCCTGAGATATTCTATATAAGTCATCAATCACGCCCTACAACTCGCCAGAGCTCCCTTGCAGATTCATTCGACACCTACTCACTACCAATGAGCTCGCTCATTGGCTTCATCCTCCTCTAGCCTATTAGGAGGTGACACGTGTTAGATTAGTGTGTAGCATTGTACGGGTATTCCATATAACTTATATTTTTTACTTTTCTCTTTATAACTTTTCTTGTAGCCCTCATAATCCTAAAAACAAAAGCTAACGAGGAATAGTTGGGGGACTCTAACTCTGATCTTTGACAGTGGACTTTTTAATAGTAAATACTTTGCTAGTTTGAAATCTCTAGTCCTCAGAACCCTATAATTAAAGGGTTCTGAGGACTTTTCTTGTGACATATGTATTTTTTTGTATTGCTTTTCTTGTAGCCTATACTTTTTTTTGTATAAATTTTTTTATCCCTAAGATATCTATAAATAAAGGTTGATGAAAATATTTGGGAGACTTTTGACTTTGATCTTGGACACTGGACTTTTTATTAGTAAACATTATGCTGATTTGATATATCTATATTTTTCTCTGCTCTCTCAACTCTCACTACACTCTTCATTCATGCTCACAGGTTCTAGCTCACCTGCTAGAAAGGTATGATAAAATCCATTGAAAATTGGAATTTAGCTTTCTCTTAGGTGCGGTGGTGTAGATGATATCGTTACACCCCTTTTCGACCCCTTTCAGTTAACCTAGAGTGTAACAAAGAGGGAGAATCCAGAAAGACATATCTCTTACTAACTCCCATCCCGAAATACTTCTATCAGAATCAAACTGTTATGTTAATTAAATACTTAGGGTTAAATATTATTAGGCTTTGTAATTAAGTATACTTTTATATATCAAAATGCACAAAATTAAAATAGGATGTAATGAAAATAACTTTGATGTTTTATGGAGGAATGATAAAATGGGGTAAATTGCATGCTTACTTTTTTGACAAAAATATCAAGTATTATAGATATGAATCACAAAGAAGATATGCCTAACCTGATGGGAGACTTTCATAAGAGCCTTTAGTCAACATGGAGGAAGTCAAATTTTCTACCCTTTGTGATTTGTAAGAGATGGATAAGCGAATCATGAAGACAATTCAAGATGCCCTAGGTGATCTCCAAGGGTGAGGGCGAGTCGATAATGTCCCTGAGGAATCTTTTGACTCGGGTGCTTATCGAGGTGCCCATAGCGAGTACTAGCCTTGACGAGTGATGAAGATTGCAACTGTTAGCTAGGCAGGCCATACGAGGAGAGCTTGAATATATTAATGCCTTTTCCAGTGAAATTGCTGAGGCGAGTCCACCTTTCAAGTTTAAAGTGCCTTACTTGGATTCTTATATAGACAAGACCAACCCCACCGATCATGTGGTGACATTCAAGTCGATGACTTCTCTACTAGATGTTAATGACACCCTTAAGTGTCAGCTCTACTTCTCCACACTTATGGAGTTTGCACTCAGGTGGTTCACTCGCTTGCCAGTGGGAGTGATCATCTCTTTTGTTGAGTTCAAGAGAATGTTTGTGACACAATTTACTAGTGCCATAAGCCACAGAAGAGCTTGCAAGCTTCGTTGAAGACGAGATGGGAGCTTGGAGAATCACCGTAGAACTTCATAGTGAGGCTCCAGAGGGAGACAATGAAATTGAAAGATTTAGAGCCTGCAGTCACCCAAGCTGCATTGATCTAAGGCTGGGAAAGGGCCCTTTCATATTATGCACTCTGCCTACAGTAGTCGAAGACACTTGCCAAGTTGTTGGAGATGACCAACAACCATGTTAATGATAAGGAATACAATAAAGTGGTTGAATTCTCCTTAGCCACTTGCCGCCATGAGATTGTTGTGAGAGGAAAGCAGTGATGAGGAAGACTTAAAGAAAATTTCCATCCCAGTAATATGAGGGATTGAAGACCAAATATGTAGCATTGTTGCCATCGCCACGAGTACTAGAGGGCATCGTGCATACAAGGTTGTTGAGGATAGCATGACTACCAATGCCGAGTAGTGGTGTAAGTGAGCCAAGCCGGATCACGAGCTGGCTTGCGAGTCGGCTCGAGCTCAACTCGTTAACGAGCTCATGAGTCGAATTTATCGGCCATGAGTTTGTTACTCGAGCTTGATCCTATACTCGAGCTCTTATATTAGATGAGCTCGAGCTTAACTTGGCTAATCTCGAAAGCTTATTGAGCTGCTCGATTAATTCAAATATATTTAAAAATTAATTTAAATTAACATTACATAATACATCTTAATATTTTTAAATTAATTCTATATTAAAAATAAAAAATCTTTTTTAAAAATATAAAATTTAATTTAAAATAAAGAAATCAAGCTCAATAATCGAGTTAAGTTCGAGCTTTCATAATGAGCTCTAGCTTATAAATTTTTTGACAAGTTGAGCTCGAGCTTAGTAAACTAGCTCGAGCTCAGTAAAACTAAACAAGTTTAACTCGATTAGGCAGATACTTGGCTTGTTTATACCCATAGCCCCGAGGGTGGAGGAGGTCCTTCTTGCCATTCACCCCAACTAATATGAAGTTAACCAATGACTGTCGACCTACCCTACATACACTTCGTTGAGAGTGTCTATGATTGAACTAGTAGAGGCAATTCATATTAAGAAATTCTTCAGGCGCCCGTCATCTATAAAAGCGACTGCGCTAGTCTGCAATACCTTAAGCGCCTTTCATTGGATCTCGGTCTTGACATAGAGGGATGTCGCTAGCTACGAGGTTAGATGGAGGATCTCATTAAAATAGGAAAATTGAAGGACGATATGCTTGTCGAATCAGGATGGTGACCTAGAAAGGCACACATGGAAAAGAGTGCCAATGAACCTATCCTTGCCCACTACGTATATATTATTGGAGTGGTACCTACTGTCACGACTCGACTCGGAGACTCGAATTAATGAGGTAGGAACAAACAGTCAGACGTTTAATATATTTCTTTCAAATTCAAATATAGTTTATCAACTACATTTACATCTTATATAAAAACTGAAGAGCCACTAATACAACTTACACATTTGAACATATACATAAACCAGATGTTATCTGCTTTCATTTGAGCTCCTTCTTCTGTACACATATTCCTCTCTTTCAGTCATTCTTCTTTTTCAGAAGATTTACTTGAAATATTTAGTTTAACAGTTTGAGCGGATAATTATACATGTAGTATAGTAATTGTACATACATAAAATAATTATATTTATTTAGCTTTCTTTGACAGTTATATATATATATATATATATATATATATCATTTTCAATTTTCCATTTCTCATTTAGTATAGGTCTAGTATTTTGTACCAATATAGGTACAACCATTTTCATTCATTTCCATTTAACGTGCATGGGTACGTTGCGTCCCCAGGCTGGGGGTGAACTCCTGTATTTGCATGCATATACATTTTCTTTCTTTTAATATTTTTATTTTCATATAAATCATTATTCGTATAAGATTTCTTTTCAACCCCAAATTCTTCCTCTTCCAAACTCTGCGCTCAATTAAGCGCAATTAAGACATTTGATCCTTTTCATAAGATTAAATAACAGAAGAAATTTGCACAAGAAGAATAAAATTTGAAAACCTTCATTCCGTCTCCTTCTTCCTCTCGGCTGAAGCTTCTCACGTTCGTTTACTTGCATTGGAGTGAGTGAATCAAAGATATTACTCACGAGGAGTCGTTAGTTTTCACTAATGCACGTGTTCGTTCACTCGACTATGCGATCTGACCTCGCCAGGAGCAACACACATGCACGTGCCCCGCTCGGTCGCTTGTTTCGTCCATCTGGTTAGTAAGAGCCGGTTTAGATGCTCGACCGTACCTACTTTGCTTT